TGACTCTCGCTCGCAGATATATCTTGTCGGAAATCCTCTTGGATGGTGGTTCGCAACTAGCTGTCTCGCAGTGTTGTCAGGTGTGTTTGTCGCTGACCAGCTCACGCGTCGACGGCGCTACTACGTCCTGGCGGAGAATGTCCGAACAAGGCTGTACAACTCTGCCGGATTTTTCCTTCTAGCGTGGGCAGCCCACTACTTCCCCTTCTACATTATGGGTCGTCAGCTTTTCTTACATCATTATCTTCCAGCTCACCTAGCGTCCGCGTTGGTAGCGGGTGCCCTCCTGGACTTTTTCTATGGTAATCCTGGTATCTTCCCAGTTGCATACCAAGACCCTACTCCGGCTCCAAAGAAGGCAGCAGGAAAGAACGGTCAGGCTGTAGAGTCAACCGTCCAGCACAACAGGCCACCAACCATGTACCCACCTTCGTCCTTTATCAGCTACGCTGTATCAGGAGTTATCGTTGGCTTGATATTTGGAGTGTATTGGTTCTTCAAGCCATTTACGTATGGTGACCCAGGGCTATCGGTGCCGCAGGTTGTAATGCGGAAATGGATGAACTTTGACTTGCACTTTGCAAAATAAGGTCTGGATTGATAACTCTGCAGTAAGGAGGGACTGTATGACCGAGGCAAATATGTGACGAGGATATAAATACGATGAAAACAGGAAATTGGAATGTTTGCTATTCTTGTATTATATTATTTATAAACAATTTTATAAAGAATTTAAAGATATTTATAGTTAGTTATGTTATTCATGATTTACATTCAGGTCGTCGCTGGCGCCCACGGGTCCTTCGAGCCGCATGCACGTTTTGAAGCCTCTCGGTCATCCGAGCCTAGCCACCATAATTTCGGATCCACCGCTCCCCCCCAATTATAAATCGACATAAACTGCTACGTCTGCACGGAAGGTCAGCGTTGCAATATATATTACAATAGATGTCGTTAACGCACTATATCCTTGACTTCGCGTATAGTTTCAATACGTGCATTAACTGTTTTCCTACGCCGTCTCTACATATAAACAATCGTAGTTACAAGATCCAGCGGTTATTGGGCGAGGTAACGATTTCTACTCACGAAATTGTTTTACATTCGATATGAGGTGACTAATATGTATTTACCAGGGTGGGTTCTCTTATGTCTATCTCGTACAGGCATCGAATGGCGAGTACTTTGCGCTCAAAAAGATAAGATGCCCATTCGGTGCGGAAAGTCTCCAACATGCCATGAAGGAAATTGACAGTTACAAGATATTCAATGACGAGCATATAATAAACATGATTGTGGGTACTTTCTTTCATAGTGAATGCAGATTGCGTGAGAATTGGTCTGCTGACGACGACGCGTAGGACTCCAACGTCGTGCAGGAACGCGACGGATCCAAGACGGTGTACATCCTTCTTCCCTATTTCCGGAGAGGGAACTTGCAGGACACGATTAATGCGAATTTAATAAACCATGCCCACTACGACGAACGCGAGGCGTTGCAGTTGTTTCTTGAGATTGCGCAGGGAGTGAGAGTGATGCACAAACATCGCGTAGGTGAAGACTCAGGGCTGAATACGAGACGTGCCGGAAATAACACGCTTGACTTGGAAAGAGAAGCGCAGCCATTAATGGACGACCAGAGGGTCACACCAGTGACGAGTATGTCGAATTTGTTGTCGTCGAGAGGTGCGGTCGTGCCGTATTCGCACCGTGATATTAAGCCCGCGAATATCATGCTCTCGCAGACGGGCGTGCCAGTGCTGATGGATCTGGGCAGTTGTACTAGGGCTAGGATAGAAGTTGCATCGCGACAACAGGCATTGGAGTTACAGGATTATGCGGCAGAATACTGCACGATGTCGTACAGAGCACCAGAGTTATTTGATGTCAAAACGAACTCTGTTCTCGACGAAGGTGTCGACATTTGGAGTCTTGGCTGCACTTACTTTGCTTTACTATATTGCTCGTCTCCATTTGAGCTGCAGTCATCGGAGTCAGGCGCTAGTCTTAGCCTCGCCATTATCAACGGACAGTACCGGTTTCCAGATGCGCCGAAGTACTCTGAACGCAACAAAGATGTTATCCGTGCATGTCTTACTGTCGATCCAAAGCATAGACCGGATATAGATAGAGTGATTCTGATGATTCAGGGTGCTCTGCAGCAATTTTGATAGATTTCGTGTTGTATTACAGGAGGATTTGAGGAAAGGGCGTTGCCCGAAACCTGTACTCTTAAGAACAATTAGTGTAATCACACTTAAGTTCTATTGTCCATTCCTATATCACCAATAAACTTCATAACTTTTTAATTAACATATTCAATCAAGGAAACAGTACGAAATTGTCTAATCGTATCGAAACGGGCAGGCACATGACATTTTGTAGTGCAATATATATTTACAGCCGCGACGTGCATCATTTACGAATTCTTTCGAACAAACAATCGTCGAGCAAAATAATCAATGCACTTTTTTAAACTGCCTTCTTTCTACTCAATGCCTTGTCTGCTTCCCAGACGCCTCTATCGATGACTGAGGCCACAGCCAAAACGCCCCCAACAACTGCACAAACACCAATCAAGAATGATCCAAACGATTTTGATCTGATAAAAAGTTAGCCAGGTCAGAATGACAATACCAACTCACGACGACAAACCTCTCTTCTCTGTTGATAACCTTCATCGGCGAGATGTCATAGGAAAAGAAAACACCGGGAATACCGCCACGAGCGTGCATTGTGTTCGGGTGGTCGTCATCTCGTCCTCCTCGAATGGCACGCTCGTGCGACGTGACAGAGTACTGGTTCGTCTCGAGAGGCGATTCGCCTATCCGCTCAAATCGGGTCGAAACAACTTTGATGAAATACATGTAATTGAAATTTCGTTCGTCTGTGTCCTTGACCGTGCCGTCAAGTGGATTACTGACAGTATGGTGGTGTGGGCCGAAAGATAGGTGGTGGATATCGTGAGTGAACGTATGGCGCACTGCGGATGTCTCATAGATGTTCAGATCATGAAGGTGCATATTTGGTGAAGAGAACGATTTTCCCGGCGCAAAGTGAAAGTTTCCGACAACTTTATTGACTGACAGCGTACCTGCAATATTACAGCCTTCATGCGCCATTTCCTTGATCTTCTCGGGGTAATTTTCTCGCTCGCATTGTTCGACGCCGTGGCCATCGCCGAACGCCCAGCCAACTTCCTGGTACGCGTTTCGGACATCGTCGCAAGTATTGCAGCACCGATTGCCGTCACCCTCCTTTGGAACAGCGCCGTAGCAAGGACCGCAGTAGTTTTCATCGAGGTGATGAGCATTGTCGCCCGAGGAATGAAGTGCAAGCGATTCGGTAGAGATAACGCTGCCGTCATCGTTGAGCCTGGTCTTGATGATTCCGTGGGTAATCTCCATCTGCTGCTCGCCGGACACGTCCATAACGTCGAGTGTCAATATCTCACACGGAATTTCCGGGAATGTAATGTTGAGGTTGATATTCATACGCTCGCCTGCAAGCGCATCAGTACCCCGGTTTACTCTGGATCAGCAGTTCCCAAATTGCACGCTCACCTCTGGTCTTGTCGACTATCAGCTCTGGCCGATTGACTATCCGTCTGTAGTCGGACCATTCTGAAACAATCAGCAGCACTATGACGACAGTCGCGACGATGGTGACGACACCGCCAGAAGTCGTGCGCACCCGCGCGTCCTCGACGGTCTTTGTGAAGGCGTCGAACGTGTTCAACCGTCGTCGGGGTGGCATATTAAAATAATATAGTCCCGTGCGTGCAATTGCCGTGCCTGACTGTAATCTGTCGTAGTTCTTGGCTCGATCTGGCTGATCTCGTGCTGATTGGGGTCGATTCGGTTCCGAGATTGAGGAAACGTGTTAGCAGGCCGTTCTCCCAAAAAGGTGAAGGTTGCACACGTGTTCTCCACAACAATGTTCAAGCAAAGGTTAAGGGTTTTGCTCTGTCAGTTTGCCATGCGACAACCAATTGCTACTAGTTGATTTTTTATCTGAAATCTGAATGACAGCATTTGTTACCAACCGGACCGCATATCCTTGCAATGAGCACTAGTAGTCGAGTAAGTACCGGTAATCTTGAGTATGGAGAATATCCTGACAATGTGCCAGAAACTTCAGTCAGAGATCAACAGGATCCTCTACGTCAAGAATCTCTCATATAGCGTTACGTCGGAAGAACTCTATGACCTCTTCGGCAAGTTTGGATCAATAAGGTACAGCTATCTTGTCTAATTGCAAATCGCTAGCGAATCATGGTAGACGCTAACTGAGAAAAACACAGACAAATTCGCCTCGGAAATGCACAGAACACTCGCGGTACGGCATTTGTCGTCTACGACGACATCCAGGACGCCAAAATGGCATGTGACAAGTTATCTGGGTTTAATTTCCAGAACAGATATTTAGTCGTCTTGTACCATCAACCGGACAAAGTGGCGCAGACGCCCGCGCATGCGCAGGGTGCTACTTCCCCTGCTGAGCATAAGTCCATGGGGGATATCGCGTCCACTCCCAGGCGACAAATATAGTTCGAGAATGCTGGGTATGAGTGGAATGATAAGACTCTAAGATGTACATTATGGGATTTTGTTGGTTGGAAATGCTGGAGTTTGGATTCAGATATACATAATAACATCAGATTGTCTCATTTAAAGAGCAGTAGCTTTGCAGTAAATTGCTAGTTGATCAATCTATTCGCGAAATAAAGGCCCCAACGAGTAGACGGCGAGGTCTTAAAGAATTGAGGAATATGGCTTGTTTGTCACCTTGTCATGGCTTTTGGCTGATTGCTACTACAGCACAAATGGAAACGGTTATTCCCAGACGTCGTTGTACCCTGTGCATATTCACCCCGTACCTCATTTCTAAAATTTTTACCCCACATTCACTTAGCTATTTTAACACCATCAATCATAATAACTAGGCATACAATACTTAATAGTTGGTATCAAAGATGATGAAAAAAAAAATTCAAACTTTGACGGATGCGAGGTTCGAACTCGCGCGAACTTACGTTCAGCAGATTTCATCAAATGAGTCGAAAACTCAAGATTCTTAAGTCTGCCGCCTTAGACCACTCGGCCAACCCGCCCACTATGATGGACTAAACGTAACCAAACAAGGCTCTTGAAGTCAAATCGCTTCGGCGGGCCCTTCCAAAAAAAAATCGTGTTTGAACCGCCTGCAACTGTATTATTATATAGAATTGGCCTCAACCAGAAAAAGAGTAACTTGAGTCGCGATTAATTAAAGCCGAAGATGGCATTAAAATCTAGATATTCTCCCAGGGCATGTGGACGTAAGGGGTTATGCAACTCAGGGACAGATTCGACATCGCTTCGAAAGTGCTGTATTACCAAGACTTAAACAATATCCTAATACTGACTTACTGACAGCGTAATGACGCTTGAACTAAATCAATTAATCATAAATATACACGATACAGAGACCCCCCTAATCGTATCCACTAAAATGGACGCGACGACTACAACCCCACCAATGCCAACCCACCAAACTGAATCCAAATCGACACAGTATTGCAGATCTCCACGGTTATTACCCACTGGAGTGCATGCCGATCCAAAAAAGAGTTCTCTACATAACTTATTCGATGAAACCTCTATTTACAGAATTCAAAGCTATTATTACGTGCCAGATACGTCCAGTTTTGACGAGCCCGCTGATGGTTGTGGAGATGACGTTCTTTGAGAAGTTGGTAAAGACAAGTCACTGGATGAATCGTTATGGGAGGATGTATCCAGTAGAACTGGCTTGAGAACCTAGAACCGAACATGTTACTATATAGATCCGTGAAACTGACGGCGAGTGATTTAACTTACATGTTCGTCAAAATCTTGGAACCACCGCGCGTGGTCTTCTGCCGTGCGCGCCAATAAACCAGGAAGTCCACCAAGAGGGGTACTGGAATTGGAGTTTGACATAGACGCAGCATTACTTCCTGTTGTTGACTGATTCGCCGACGTCGTTCGCGAAATCGACGGTGTCGGCTGTGCCTTGCTACCACTCTCTAAAGCAGCGTGATCGCTCGACTCCAATACTGATCCGCGCGAATAAGAGTTTGGCTCTTCTACAGAGAGAGTACCTTGAGAGGCTTCTGGAGACCGCCGAATTATTTGCGACGCCAGATCATTCACAGACTGCGATATTGAGCTAGCTCTCCGCTGATTGTGATCGTTCTCTGCGTATACGGAATGCAGCACGTGACTTTGCCCTTTGTAACTGCCACCAATGCCAAATTGCATGTCAAGTTCAATATCGCTCTCGTTATCATCGGTCTCAACTCCGGTTTGGATCCCAAGAATCTCAAGCATACTAGAGGTTGTACCTCCGAACACAATAACTGTTAATACCACAACAATTAGAATCGTAGCGCGTAGAGCGTTCGCGTGTTCTCCTTCAATGCCGGACGCAAGAGCAACGCCGACTGCTCCCCGAAGACCGGCCCAGAATAGCATGATCTGATACTGGTCAGGAAGCTCTTCGGGAACGGCTCGCCCGTATGCCGTTGCTCGAGTTCGATGCACGAAGTTGATAAGCTTTGATAGAGGGAATACGGATGCCCATCTTGACACGCAAATTCCAAACTACAATATAAGTCAATAACACCGACTCAAATAATACTTGGATGATAACTCACAGCTGTGACCACAATCAAAAGTGGTTTGTAAACCAGTTTGACTTCAGTGAAAAGAGAGAGTCCCAGATATATAAATATGAAATTCTCGGACAATTGAGCCAGAGTCTGGAACATGAACTTCGTCGCGATCTGGGTCCTCTTCGACATATTGTAGTGGGCATAATGTTTCAAAGTAATGCCGCAAAACAGCAGCGATACAATGCCAGACATGTGGCATCCGTTGGAGAAAAAATAAGAGGCATAGGCAAATAGCAGAATAAGGCATGTCTCGATGGATGGAAATAGGCGAATACGCGAGTGCTTTAGAACAAGCGCTGTCATGACACCGACAATCGAGCCGATCAGGAGCGAAATTGTAAACGTCATCAAGAAGATGCCGATACCCTTTAACAAACCACTGATACCAGCCGATTCGCCATGAAGCTTTTGAGTAGTCCTAAACTGTTAGATTGGAAAAAGACAAATTACAGCATAACTTACTCAAACATGACGATAGAGACCGCATCGTTAAGAATGCTCTCGCCGAAAATAATTGTATATAATTTCGGATCGACTTTGTATGTATTGAAAATCGATAAAATTGTGACAGGATCAGTCGCAGACAATGTGGCGCCGAACCCAAGAGCCGCAACGAACGGAATCTTCAACCCCTCGAGACCAAGAAGAGCCCAGACATAAATAATGATTCCCAGTACGACTGCAGATATGAATGTTCCGGCGAAAGCGAATGTTAGAATAGGGCCAATATTTCGGAAAAAGTTCGCCTGTGCTATATTAGCACACAATTGAGTGATAAAAAACTTCATGGCTGGCCGTACCTGGTGCAACTCGTAGCCACAGTTGAGAATGATAGGCGGTAGAAGCATATTGAAGAAGTATGAAGACTTGAACGAAACTGTATCCTGAATATAATGGCCTGGCAAGATTCGGATTACTAAGCCAACAATCATTCCTATCAACGGTTAATATGTTCAGATCGGCTTCCAATATCGCCACGTTCCAGGCTTGTAAAGGACCTACCCGCAAAAATCGATACGACGGTCTCGTGTACAGCTTGGATCTTACGGATTTGCAAGTAATAACTAGTCCATAAAGAGCCAATGAGAAGGACAATCAAAATGAAAAGGGCCCATGATGAGTACAATTCTTCCTGACTAGGATTATTTAGTTCATCTATATCGCAAACTTGTCAGTCCCGGCTACTAAGATCAACTGCATCTTACCACGTGGAGTACCGTACCATCTGGCGAGCCTTCGAAATCAGCGTCGCTTTCTCTTCGGCCTAAAATATTGATTAGCGCTCGGATAGTTAACAGCTAGGCTGAACGTACTTAGCAGGTTTGCTGCCGTCGACAGTATGGAATTCAGCATGATTGGCAGTTGCTAGATAATATACAAGGAACTATGTCACTTGCAGCGCGACTCTAACAGGGACCTAGTCACGAATCAATACAGCCTGCAGCAACAAAAATTCAAGACTGCGCGATATTCGAGAGTAAGGATTTCTACCCAATTCCGCTTAAAAGACTCGTTGTAGTTGCCTGTCAATATATCCCCATGTTCCGTGATTTGAACGACGACGACGACACAGATTGCATGCGGCGCGCTGGCTGCCCCCAGGGATTTCACGCAGCCATCTTACCCGGCCTAATGGGGTAAGGGTACTCGTGCGGCTGGTCCGGGACGGGACGCATTGACAGCGGACAAGTTTGGTTCGGCCAAAATAATATATACCAAAGCCCGAATCAATTACTGCGTCAATGCCGAAAATTATATTTCTGAAAAACCCAAGTCCAGACGTCTATAGCGATAAATATGCAATAACAGCAAAATCACGCTACTACGACTCGTGTTTCCTGCCGATACTGTCGCATACGTTTGTCGACCAACCGGGACTGCGGACGTACCTGACTGATCTGGCTGCCAACGCTGATGAGACACCACTAGATGCATTAATTATAACTTCGCAACGAGCAGTCGAGGCTGTTGCTTCTGTACTGTTAGAATTATCAGGTTTGTATTGTAATAGTGTTGTCTTGATTCATTGTGTGACTAACAGGCAGTGAACAGTTTCGACGAGGTCTTATATCCGCTCACTGCCGCTATACACTGTCGGTCCAGCAACAGCAGCACTAGTCCAATCATACGGGTTCAGCAAAATAGTAGGCGGCGCAGAAGCGGGTAACGGCAGGATTCTTGCCTCCCAAATTGTGGGCGCGAAGCCCCGACGATGCGTATTCTTCACAGGCGAAACCAGACGAGATATTATACCTGTGACGTTGCGCGAGAATGGAATTGAATGCATCGAACGCGTGGTGTATAATTCCAAAAGCATCGAGGGTGTTGAGGATCAATTTATGGAGTTAATGAGTGATGCAAAACATGTTTGGTGGACTGTGTTTTTCTCGCCTGCTGGTGCAGAAAGTATTGCTCGACTTATAGCGAAAAATACCGGAGCAACGAAAGTTGCTGCGATAGGTCCGACGACCGAAGAATTTTTGCTGAAATATGGCATCACTCCTAACACAGTCTCACGAAACCCAGATCCGCAGTCTTTATTGCAAGGAATAGATGAAGTATCAACGTAAGCGACGGCGCACTCTTGGCACAGCATTTTTTACGATTTCACGCGCACCAGTTTGTAAATGTATCCGGCATAATATCACGTGGACTTACAGCTCATTGTGATTGTGCAATAATAACGTTTGTTCAAGAGTTACGTTTCATATACAGATAATCCATTGGAAAGAAAGGTTAAGATAATCTCAATCAAAACAGAACCGAAACGCATTTAACTATGAATACAATATAAGAATAAAATCATTTCCCAGTAAATAAACACAAACACATATTTGAACAATAGCTTTAGAGTCTGGCATTTGTCGACCAGCTACGTGGGTAACGCTATTCCAACCCCCCCGAGGGGCAGAAAGAGACCTTTCCGTATAAAATATATTTAGCGGCGAAGCTCTTACAAGCTGGCAGTAGAAGCGGTTGCAGCGGTGGCGGCGGCAGCAGCAGCAGTAGCAGCCGCAGCAGAGACATTGGCGAGATCCTTCTCAGCCTTGAACTTCTTCACATTCTCCAAGAACTTGTCAAAGAGGAAGGAAGAGTCTAAGGGACCCCCCTTAGCTTCAGGATGGAACTGAGTGCTGAAGATAGGTTTAGAAGTGTGGTACATGCCTTCGTTTGATCGGTCATTCAAATTGATGAAGAACTCCTTGAAGTCAGCGGGCAATGTCGAGGCATCGACGGCATATCCGTGGTTCTGGGAGGTTATGTGGCAATGACCAGTCGTGAGATCCAGCGTCGGAATATTGTGAGCGCGGTTCCCATACTTTAGCTTAACAGTCTTAGCACCAACAGCCAAGGCGAGGAGCTGGTGGCCCAAACAAATACCGAAGATTGGGAGAGAGTGCGTGTGCATGGTCTGC